TTCAGAAACAACTGGACCGGTTCTTCTGGAACTAAAGGAATCTGTTGGGACTAAAGTTTATTATTATTAACTTTTACTTTCATTTCTGGTTGTTTCAATAATGTTTATCTGTAAACATGTGATGTCACTTCCTGTTTACAGCCCCAGAATAACATTAACTTTAACGACGTTACGACCACGAGGATTCAATTTGCCTCCAATTACAGCTGATTCACCAACACGAGACCGGCAGGGAGGAACCGCCGGCAGCCGCTGACGATCAATATCCACCTGATCGACCTGATCGACCTGATCATTGATTATTAATTAGGTTATATATAATATATATAATATAGCTTCCCAGAGATCAGGGTTGGTGTTCGGATTGTTTTAGTCCAACAGAAATTAAATCTACACTGAAAAACTGGAAATCAATTATTGGAAAAGATGGAGATTAATATTCTGTCAATCGATTAATTGATTAATTGTTTATTCACCAATTAAAGGGGCGGAGCCAGAGAAACTCAAATTTAATCAAAATGTAATAATAAAGTGTTAAAAACTGACATTTATTGATCTGTTATGGCCACATTTTAATATTTTATCTATTTATTGATTACTAATATTTCTATTCAGAGTTCTTCATTTGGAGGTTTCATAGAATAAATATTGATTATTGTTCGATTAAATTAACACATTAATATTATAAAGTTGTGAATTTGACCAAATTAATGACTTTAAATAATTACAGGAGATCGAACTGATCGATCTGATCGATTGATTGATTGAGTAATCCTGTTATCATTAAATAAAACTCACAGAAAGTGTTACACTTCAACATGTAAAACTAATAATATTATTGATCCACGGATCGATTTAATGACGTTTTGAATCAGTTTTACGTTTTTCATTTTGACACGACATAAACAGGAAGTCAGACACACACCTGTGTGACGCTGTGTGGCGCGTGGGCCTCTATTTTCACCTCAAACAGGTAAAAACACCTCGAGAAGCAGCGCGTGGAGCAACAACAACAACAACAAACAACAACAAACAACAACAAACTCACCGTTTAAACTGTAGAAGTTCTTCTCTCGTCTCTTCTTCGTCTCCTAAAACTTCCTCCTCCTCCTCTCGCGCTCCTGGAGTCTCCGTGTGAGCGCGAGCGCCTCAGTGCACGGGGACCCGCCCGTCCTCGCGCCTCCCGCCAATCGCTGCTCACAATCCAAATATGGTGCGGCGGCTTCCGCCGACGCGCCCCTGCTGACTCACCTCCGGGAGGTGACGGAGATGAGTCACCTGAGCTCGGTGACAGTCGGGATTTTCCGTGAAACGACGGAATAAAATAAAAGAGTTTAAAAGTATGGAAGCCCAGTAGTGCCAAAGTGCGGGAAAAAGGTTCTGTAATTTATTATAATGAGAAAGTTTCTCAGAATATCGACTTAATATTTCAATATAATGAGAAACTTTCTTATTATTTTGAGATAATAAGTCGGAAATATTGAAAAAGTTGTTGTATGGAAGCCGATTTCTGCCAAGATGAAAAAAAAGAAGCAAGTTATTAAAATGAGAAACGGAACTAGACTTTATTAAAATAATAAGAAACGTTCCCCAATTAATACCTTTTAATTAATATTTCAAAATATTAAAAAACGTTTTTTATTATTGTATGGAAGCCGATTTCTGCCAAGATGAAAAATAAAAACAATCATGGAAGTTATTATAATGTGAAATCTGTAATCTATCCATCGATCTATTGATCTACAGAGTCCGTGCAGTGAGTACAACAGTGTGTGTTTGAGCGCCCCCTGGTGGAAGCAACCATTACAACCATATTTACCTTCCTCAACCTGGTTTGTTGGAGATTTGGGTGAAAATCTAAATGGAAACATTTATTAAATCATAGATAAAGAAGATAAAATAAACGAATCCAAAGTTTGCTCAGGATATTTTTTATTTCCTCGTCGTATTGACCTCAACAAATAAACCGTCGCTCAGAAACATCTGTGGAACATATTTACACATGAATATGTAAATATGTTTCACAGATGTTTCTTATTTAAGTTAAAAAGAGGATTTCACATGTGTTTTATTTCCTGTATAACACACTTAATTAAAGGTTGGTTCTGCCCCCTGTGTTTCATTTGGGATTATTTGGGGTTATTTTGTATTTCACTGAACTGTTAAATTATATTTTCTGATCATTATATAACATATTTAATATAATTCTGCTGTTTCATAGAGACACATATCTATTACACTGCACAAAACACTAATAAAAACAGATTAAAGGGGAGAAGTTTCATTATATTAGTTATTCTTTCATTTCAATCGTCAAGTTTCTGCTGCAAGTTTCCAGTTGTGCTTTTAAAGGGGAGGCGTTTGACCTTTGACCTCCAACCAGCTGGAGATGGAAACAAACAGCTGACTGAGCAAACGTCTCCGCTGAAGACCGACCGACCGCAAGCTTTCTGTCTCTGACCGGCCGACAGACGACATCGTACAACATGGACAACAGCGACAACCCGTTTCACCCCAGGTTGGTAAACTCTGAGTGTGTGTGTGAGAGTGTGTGTGTGTGTGTGTGTGTGTGTGTGTGTGTGTGTGTGTGTGTGTGTGGTAGTTTAAAGATTATATGATGAAGATCTAAAATCCTTTAAAGGGCGTTTAAAGGGTAAAGTCTGCAAGTTCACTGTTGTCTACAAATGTTGGTGATCAATATTATTATTATTGTTATTACATAACTAATCTTCAGTAAATCAGCTTTAATTTTGTTGTGTTTTTAATGACAAAACTTTCTTTAAGACGTCAGAGACGAGTTCTCTTATAAGATAACAGAAAGTGGAAAAGAAACTCTTTTAATAAGATTTATTATATTGAAGGTCTTTTAGCTGTGTTTGTTTTTTTGTTAATTTTCCTTTATTTTATGTTATTTGTTACAAAGATCATCGTGTTTGTGTGTGTGGTGTCTTAAAGTTCAGTACTTGAGCATAAATTTGACGTACTTTAACATTTCAGGGAGGAATATTGTACTTTTTACTGCATTTATCTCACAACTTTTATTACTTTTCAAATATTTTTTTATACTTCAAATTCACAATAAGTTTGAACATACATTGTTATAGATTAAACTACATTCTTACAATAAATATATAATAAATAACACTTTGAATGGAGGTCTTTTGCATAATGAATACACTTTTTATTATTTATTTTTACCTTAGAGAGATTTTTAATTCAGGACTTTATCTTGTAACAGTTCATTGTGAATAAGTAAGTAAAGTCTTCTTCCACCTCTGTTTGTGTTGTACCAGCTCGTTTTATTTATAGCAGGAGGCCCGACTTCAGCTGTTGTGTCTTTCTGCATTTCAGTGGCAGCTGCTGTGTGTGTGTGTGTGTGTGTGTGTGTGTGTGTGTGTGTGTGTGTGAATAATGACATTCTGAGGACATACACCTGTTCACACACTCGCATTGTGGGGACCTTGCTGCCATATGGGGACTAAAGGACAAGCATTATAATTTATAGTCTCCATGAAACAGGAAGCCGAGTGTTGTTTACTTCCTCATATTCACGTGTTTCCAGCTAGAATTTGCTGATTAATTTAAATGTGTGTGACGCTGCTGGCGCTATGAGCTAGTGTCAGCGTCTGAACACAGCCGAGGTGTGGGTTCTGGGTTTTGCTGGGTTTGGTTCGTAGCATCCCGGGTCAGCCGCTAACGGCAGGCACAGTTAACAGCAGTTAATTAGCAGTTAGCTACTTTACTTTACTACGATGTTCTATTATAGTTTCCATGTCCACAACTGAAATAAAATAAACAGATAAAATACCTGTAACATATAAAACATATTACAAACGCTTCACCAACATCAACTGTGACCAGTCAAAGTGTTTTAGGGGGATTTTCCCTTTAATGATGAGATAAATGTGTCAGTGTCAGTCGACTGTTTGTGTATGGAAATGTTCAGCAGCCGACGAGGGCGCCAGTAGCTTTCTGTTTATCTTTATGCAAACAGGCTGGTTTCAGTGTGTGTGTGTGTGTGTGTGTGTGTGTGTGTGTGCAGTACTTTGATGGTATTAATATGTTCCTTCTTCACAGATAACATCTTTTAAAACCTCAGTGACGACTCTTTCTATGCTTTCATGTCTCAGTTCATTTTAATGACACGCTCTGTCTCTCTTCATGTGGTTAAACTCTCGTCTTCGGTCCCGTTGTTTATTCTGGATTGATTCAGTGTTCGGTGGTGGAAGAAAAGTTCAGGTCTTTTATTGAAGTAAAAGCAGGAACACAACAATGTAAAATATCTTTAACTACATTATTAAATTATTTAATCTGCCGAAATGTAAAATCTTTAAACCTGTCTTTAATTTAACCACTACATTAGCAGTTAGCATCTACAGACGATATTCTCTCCATAAAATCTGATCCAGTTTCACTCAAACAGATAAAGTTGTGTTTGTACAGCAATCAGTGAGCCAACTAACTAATGAATCTTCGCTCTGTGTCACTAACAGTTGAAGATTGATTGACGAGTGAGTATCAGGATATTATTGGTTGAAATCAGTTAGTTCATGCTGACGTAAACACGCGTCACATTGCGTTTTACAGGAAGACACAATGATTGATTATTGATATAAAAATATAAAGAAATAAAGTTTTTGTGAATGTTTTTTAGCGGACATTGTGTAATAATATAACTGAGGATCTTAAAGGGTTAAAACTACCATTTCACCTGGACTTCGAATTACTTTATTATAGACTATTCATGTGTCTTAATTTACAGCTGTTCATATTTATATTTATATTTACGTTAATATCAAAAACTTTAATGTCAAAATACAGAAAATGACTTAAACAATTTACTGAGAAGAAGTAAACAGTTTCTGAACTAAAGGGAATAAAGAGAAGCTCTGTGTGAACCGTTGATTGAGGGATTACAGGTGTGCACCCTAATCCACCTGTCAGTCAGGTGTCAAACAGGAAGTGCTTTGAAGCAGATCGAGACAACAGGATTCATTTCA